CCCCCCTCCCCCCTCCCCCTCCCGTCCTTGCCTCCCCCCCTCCCCCTCGAGCCGCTCCTCGGCCCGTTCGCCCCGCGCGCCGGGCCTCCGCCGCCGCCGGCGGCCCCTCCGCTGCGCCCGCCCCGTCCTCGGGCCGGAAGTGGGGGGGGGAGGAGTGGGGGAGAGAGAGGGGGGGAGAGGGGGGGATAGAGAGGGGGATAGAGAGGGAGGGGGATAGAGAGGGAGGGGGATAGAGAGGGAGGGGGATAGAGAGGGGGATAGAGAGGGCGGGGGATAGAGAGGGAGGGGAGGCTTGCGCTCCAGGTGTGTGCCTCGCAGCTTGCCGAAGAGAGAGTATGAAGGGATGGAGGGCGAAGGAGGGAGGACGGTGGAGGAGAGACCTGAGGAGGTGCAACAGCGCAGGAATGACGATACTAGGCCAAGCTCCAAAGCTAGGATGAATCTCTGCGAGCAACTGAACTCGGGCCCCCGAAGCACACCATGGATGTCGAGGGGGGAGGAGCAGAGTAAGTGTAGGTCGGGCATGTCCTCCTACAGGTGGATTTGGGAAGACAAAATAATCACAAAATCAACCTGGCGAAAGACCCAACCATATGCAGTTGTGAATACCGCACTTGTAGGTATCGTCTTCGATGGTGCCCTATTCTAGGGCCGCGGAATGCTGTACCGGGCAGGGGAAACGCATGCGGACTGCGCCAGTGGGACCCTCGTGGAGCTCCATATGGGGCCACAGAACGCTGTACTTGGTGGGGAGACGGATGCGGGCTGCGACTCTGGGACCTGCGGTGGAGCTCCCTACGGGGCCACGAATCGCTGTACTCGGTGGGGGAGACGCATGCGGGCCTGGGACAAAGTAGGCCTCCCCCATGGCACAAGAGTAGGCCCCCCCCCTGGGACACCCCCACCTGGGACAAAGCAGGCCCCCACTGGGACAGAGTAGGCCCCCCCCCAGGACAAGGTAGGACCCCCCCTGCTCCATGGCACAAGGTAGGCCCCCCACAGGGACAGAGTAGGTCCCCCCTGGGCCAACCCAATGGGACAAGGTAGGCCCCCCCCTGGGACAGAATAGCCCCCCCCCAGGGACAAAGTAGGCCCCCCCCCTGGGACAGAGTAGGCCCTCCTGGGACAGGGCAGGCCCCCCCTCCTCGGAGTGCGGACGCGCGATGGGGGAGGCCCCTCCCCCCTCCTGCTTCCTCCTCCCTCCTCCTCCCTCCTCCTCCCTCCGCCTCCTCCCTCCCCCTCCTCCTCCCTCCGCCTCCTCCCTCTGGCCTCCTCCCTCTGGCCTCCTCCCTCCTCCTCCCTCCCACATGGGTATCGTCGTCGTCGCCGCCACCGTCGCCGTCGTCGTCATCGTCGTCGTCGTCCAAGCTGCCTCCCCTTACTCCTCCTCCGCTACCCTCGGCCGATTCGAACCGGCCGAACCGAACCGAACCAATCAGACCGGACCTGCCGAACCAAGCTGGCCGCGCAACTCGAACTGACCGACTGGACCAGACCGGACGACGTTCTGAACCAGACCGGCTGAACAGGCCCGAACGCACACCGGACCAGACCGAACCGGACCGAACCGTGGCCATCGTGACTGTTGGAATCGTTAGAGCGAATGTGCGCGGCGCTATGGCGTTAACCACATTCTTCAAGCCACAGCGCCTCCTTTCGTGCAGTTGCAGCAAACTTGTGAGACGAATGTGTGCGGCGCGAGGGCGAAAACCATACTTCGAGCACCACCAGCCCTTCATCCGTACAAGTGTCTAGCACAATTAAAGCGAACGTGCAAGGCGTTAATGAAGGGGAACTGGGACACACAAAAAAATACACACAAATAACAAAATTCCCAATATTGTTCCCATATTTTCTGGGGAATCGAGAACTGATTGTGTCTGTGGGTTTCTTTTCCTCCGGAGTTAATAAGGAAAAACGCATCTTGGAGACAACCAACCCTGGATCCGTGCAAGTGTTGGAAAACGGAAGCTCCGGGTTTCTCCGCCGACCCCTGGCTACCGTTGCTGAAAAGGTGTGTAGGAGGACTGGCTGTCACCCCTGCCCCATTTTCGGGTCGGGCGAAAGGGGGGGATAGTAAAGGAGGGGTTTGAGAATCAGCTCACGTAGCTGATTTACCCGGCGCCTCCCGGCGCCGGAGGCGGCTATGTATCGAGGAATGGGCCACTCGGTGGGGCCGAAACCAGCTGCATGCAGCAAATTTCGTAACCCCCCTTTCCCAATCCCCCCCTTTCGCCCGGCCCGACATTTCCCTTGCTAGGAGGCCACGTGCGAACCCTACCCCACCTCCCCAGAAATCGTGGGCTGGTAGGGTGGGGTTCGCATGTGGCCTCCCACCTGACCCCCTGAGGTCCAAAATCCCGTCCGTTCGGGATTGGGGAAGTACGAGCTCATCAACGCACCTTCGGGACCCGCGTAGCCTCAAATCACGACACCGTGGCCGACAAAATGCCCAAGGCATGACCCAAGATGACTCCAGAAGGGCTACAACGCGCCGGAGAGGCCTCAGGAACGCCTGGGAGATCCTCAAAAGAGGGCCCCAACAGGTCCCCGCAGAAGGCCTCAAGGGGCAAGAATCACTGATCCTCCATCCGAAGGTTTGAACATGATTGTCACGCTCTCGCCTTTTCGGACGTCTTCAAAAACCCGAAACGGCGCGAGAGGCCCCCCAGAACTGGCCCAAGATGGCCAAAGAGACCTCCAAAAAGGCCCGCAGATGGCCCAAGAAACGGCCCAAAAGGCCCCCAAGAAAGCGACGGACACCCTCAAGAGGGCCCCAAAAACGGCCCAAGAGAGGCCCAATAGGGGGAACCCGCAAGGAATCTGGAAGCTCCCCCCAAAGATAGCTCCCCCACCCCCCATCATGCCCACAAGAGACTCCCAAGAAGGTCCCAGGCGGCCCCCTCAGCCGCCAGGAACCTTTCGTCTTTCTACCCTGCTCCCTCCTCCTCCTCCTCCTCCTCCTCCTCCTCCTCCTCCTCCTCCTCCTCCTCCTCCTCCTACTCCTCCTCCTCCTCCTCCTACTCCTCTGCCCTCCGTGGCCATTTTGGCTCGAGCTGTTCGGCTGGACGGGTCAGGCCGCAGCAGCCGCGGCGCGTCCGGAGTAGCTTGCAGTGCTTGGGATGGCTGGCTGCACAGCGCGGAGCGGCGTCCAGGCGGTGCTGGAGTACAGTCGGACTTGATTGGAGAGGACACGCGAGAGGACACAAGACCCTTCCGAGGGCCACGTTGCCACAGAAATGCAGGAGGCATGGGTCGCAAGACACAAGACACGAGGGTACCCTTGATCTGGCAGGGTCGACCTACTAATCCGGGCCGCCTGTAGATGCCTCCTAGATGGGGTCGGAGTAGATAGGGTCGGAGGATCACGCCGCATCGCCGATACATCGGCGACGTATCGGCGATGTATCAGCGATGCACCAGCGATGCATCGTCGCCGTTGGCGATGCATCGGCGACGTCGTCGTGGAGAACGTCGGGCTCCGCATCGAGCGGCATCGTCGATGCATCGGCGATGCGGCGCGATCCTCCGACCCCATCTGCTCCGACCCCATCTAGGAGGCCTAAATGGAGGCCATGGTGGCGGGTCCGCTCCAGTCCACCAAGCTAAATGCAGCTGTTTGCCGAGCGGCTGCCTCGGCGGCCGGAGCAGCGTCGCTGGTGCCAGGCTGCGGATCGGCAATCGCACAGCAGGAGGATTTCCTTGTGGCCTCCCAGCGCGCCCTGGGCTGCGCGGAGCGTCACGGCCTCCCGATGCGCCAGGAGGAACTCCAGGCGCGGGGCGGGGCGAAAATGGCTTGGCCTCGCGCGAGGGCAAGCTGAACCGCTGCCGGAACAAAGAGGCGCACGCCGATATGGCGCTGCTGTCCGACGTGGCGGGGACCCTTTCGGATGCATCCAAGATCGAGGTAAAGCAGACCCTAGCCGAGAAGGAGCTGTGAAGTCGAAGGCCGATGACGGTACTTCCCGTGTGAGCGCATCGATCCGCAACTTCACGCCGCACCTGAACCAGCACGACCTGAAGTTGCAGTCATTCGACGCGGAGCTGAAAAAGATGCAGCCCAAGTACGACGCGAGCTATCTCAACTGGCAGGCCGAGGCTAACAAGCTGCAGCTGAAGATGGAGGAAATCTCCAACCAGCTGAGCCTCAACGCCGATAGAACTACGGCGGCTTCATGAAGAAGTACGCGATCTTGAAATAGCGCGTTGACTCGCAGATAATGGAGCAGCAGCGGCAGGAGGCGCTGCTTCAAGACTGAGAAGCAGAGCCTCAATGACGAGAAGACGCCCGAGGACTTCTTGAACACGAAGACTGCCCCTTCAGACCTCCCGCACTTCGCTCCAGGACGTCTTCTCGAGCTCGAAGAGCAGGAGACGGCCCTCGCACAGGTTTTTGTTAGTTCTTTTTTTTGGGGGGGACGCGGCGCCTGACAAAGGGCCTAGGATTAGGCCAGGCATGTCCTCCTACAGGCGGATCTTGGAGGAAAACAAAAGAAAACATAGTCAAAACATCTTCGACGATGCTCAAACATGATGGAAGCATCGTCTCCCGACGATGTGTTAAACTGCACACGTCGGTCGGAAGAAGTAGGTAAAAGCATGAAGTAGGAAGGCGGATTAAGTTGATGTGGTCCAGGCCCCTCCAGAGAACAACAAAACACAGCAGAAGCAAGCCGACTCTTGAAGTAGGAAGGTGCTTGAAGTAGATTGGGATCTGGGAATCCATAGCCCGTTGAGGGAAAGCGACGCGCCAAGGTGTCCATCGAGCTCTGCAAGGCACGGCAGAAGTTCGAGGAGGCCAGCAGCCAGGCCACAGCGCAGCGGCGCCCCGCCTCTCAGCAGCCCATGGAGGTGGAGGCGCCCGCGGAAACCGCGGCCAAAACCCTTGAAGCGCAGGCAGCAGACGGCGAAGTGGCCAAGGCGACAGTCCCCGAGATGCCCCCAGGCCTGCGAGCGGCCACCAACGACCGGCGTGTGGAGGGAACGCGACGCGCCCGACTTCAGGCCTGGGACCGAGGCGAGCGCGCACGCGGCGGCCCGCCCCCCGCCGCCCCCTCCCCCCCGCGGGCCGCCCCTCCTCGAGAGCCGCCGCGCCCGCGGCGGAAGCGAGCGCCTGGAGCCGGGTCGGGCCTGTCCCCCTAGAGGGGGATTTTGGTAGGGAAGCGAACTCTATACACCGACGCTTTTCCCGACCCCGCGCTGAAATTCGCACCGGAACGCGGATTCTGGTGTATACGGGATCCTGGTGTATACATTCTTCGCTGTTTTCCCGGGACATCGGGGAAAAAAGTATACACCACACCTCCCAAACGTCGTCCCCGACACTCAAAGAGTCCTGGGATTCAAGAAGCAGCCCGCCACTGGTAGTGTGTACGCTCCAGTTTCAGATTTGAGCAAAAAATCCAAAATTACTCCGAAAATGCTCCCCAAATGCTCCAAGAATGGTCGAAGAATCGTCCCCGGACTATGCACGGACCACGTTCTAATACTCCTCCTGTAGAGGGACAGGCCCGACTTACGCTCGGAGCTCCGCGTGGCGGCGGCCGCCCTCTTTGAGGGGCTGGGGCCCTCTGGCGTGCGGGCCGGCGGCGAGGAGCCTGCTGTCCACCACCACCACCAGGAGGAAGAGGAGGAGGAAGAGGAGGAGGAGGAGGAGGAGGAGGAGGAGGACGAGGAGGAGGAGGAGGGGGAGGAGAGCGAGGATCCCCTTCCCCCTCCAGCTTGTGGTGGCGGTGGCAGAGAACAGGCCCATCACCGGCGGGGAGCCCCGCGCCGCGCGCGCTGCCTTTCTGGGCTTTGCAGGGCCGGCCATTTGCAGCCATTCGCTGCTGGAAGGCGCCGGCCCTGCCCGCTCGAAGAGTCCGATCCCGCCCACATCCGCCCTCGCCCTCCTCCTCCTCCTGCTCCTGCCCCTCCTCCTCCTCCGTCCTCCTCCTCCTCCTCCTCCTCCTCTCCACCTCCTCCCCTCCTCCCTCCCTCCCTCCCTCCCTCTCCTCCTGCTCCCTCCGTCCCTCCCTCCCTCCCTCTCCCCTCCCTCTCTTCAAACATCGGCCCAGGCGGCGCCCCATGGCCATTTTCTCTGGGCTCTTGGCTCGCCATCCCAAGCCGCCCTCGCCTCCTCGTGGTGCTCGGGTGAGTTCGGGTCCGCCGGGCAAGCATCTCGACCTACTTCGTGCTGCTCCTCCCGACGACGAAACAACTGTGCAATCGAGACGGCTGTCCGCAGACGCGCAGAGTGCCGAGACGCTTCTATTCCTCAGCGTTCAAACCAGTGTTCTCTGTATGCACATCAGTGGAGGAACATGACCGCTGTTTCATTGAGGCTGGTTCATGTGGTAACTCTCCACCAGGTGCACGCGGGACTCTTCCCCAGTTAGGGCGTGGTCGTCGGATGCTCTCTGGTGCTTTGTCAGCGCGTGACAATGAGGTGACACATTGTGCTCTCGGTCGGGTTTATTAAACCTGGGTTGCAGCATGTTGAGTGTCAAGTCCACTGAAGATGTATGGTTGAACTTGATGGTGTGGTGTTCTATTTACTCCTGGGCTTCAGCGTCGGCGTCCGTCTCAGGATACAGGTAGTAGGTAGTAGGAGGTCCGAGGGGCTACGAGCCCACCAAAACACTCCTGCCTGCAGCCTGGGCGTACTTCAATTGGACATGTAGAGGGGCGCGTGCTCGTGTCGTGTCGTCAGCGCCCAGCAGAGCTCCCTCTTCGACGTTCCCGCCAGCAGCTTTGGGCGCCCAGTGCGGGAGGAAGGGGCAAGCTCAGCGCAATGGCGGCGCATCGCCTCCGCCCTCTTCTTCGTCGCCTGCGTCATGGAGCTCGGGGGGCGGCTCGGAGGCCCGGGATCGCATCGCGACTGTTCTCACTCACTGAAGGGACCCTGGGACACACAAATAAAGAGACACGAACAACCAGACTCCCCATAGCTTCCCATATTTTTGTTCTGCGTTCCTGTCTTCCCCCCCACTTTCCACATGTCCCATATCTTCTGGGGAATCGACGATGAATCGTGCCTGTGTGCTCCTGACTCACTCCCGCTGCCCCCCCCCTCCCCTGCCCTGCAGGAGGGCGGGAGGCTCCTCGGCGCCCTGCCCGTCCTCCTCCTCCTCCTCGTCCTCCTCGTCCTCGGAGCCGTCCGCGGCGTCCTGGGCGGCTGGGCGCTGGCGGCCTTGCCTCCTCGTCCGCCTCGTCGCCGTCACGGGTCGAGAATCGAGGGCCAACGCGTGGTGTGGATATATATATATATATACACACACATACATAGTTACACCGATGCATAAACATATATAGACATGTACACATATATATATATATATACACATTATCGAACCATGCGCGCGCTTCGCGGGCACTCAGGTTCGCCCTCCATCTCTCCCCCCTGACGCTCCTCCACGACGTCGTCTCCCCCCCTGACTCCCCTTCATGTATCCCTCCTTTCGTCTTCACTTCGTTCCCCCCCATCCTGACTTCCGTTGCCCCTCCCCTTCCCCCTCTCCCACTCGTCCTCCATGTCTTCTAAGGACCAAATGAGCTGGATCCTGCACCGCAGTCTTCTTTTACGTATTCGCATTCTTCTTCTTCCTCCACTGACAGATCGACGACACCCCCACGGCGTATGTTGCATCACAGACAGCATACGAGTGCTGAAATGTTCCGCATCCCCCGACGGTGTGTTTCAAGCAACGCGTGCAGGAAACAAACAACTGCCTGTGTGGCTGGAAACATGCTTCGGCACGATCAGTCAAGTGAGACGGCGTCTCACTGGTCGCGGAGATCCGTCTCGACGGAAACAAATAGCACTCGATGACATCGCGGTGTGCAGGCAGATGTGATTTGACGCGCTGAATACGGTTACGCATAAGCACGGGCCGACGTTGTGGCTGGAGAGCCTTGTGCCGAGGAGGAGGAATGGTCGGGGGACAACGTGGAGCCGCTGCAGGGAAGGAGGACAAGGGAAGAGCTGAAGGGCACGGGACACTGAGCAGCCCTAGGATTATGCGCTTGACTGCACGTGCGAACAACACCTGCGAAACTAATAACATGCTTCGGCACGATCAGCCACCTGAGACGACTTTGCACTACTGGCATCACCACTGGAAACCCTGGACACGTGAGGGGGAACAGGCTGAAAGAGGAATGAGACGCGCGCGATATGTTCTGCTGTAGTCTCCCCCGAGGAGCCTTTCAAACGAACGCGCGGTGACCCTGGCCTCTTGAGACACCTCGGGCTCATCCGAAGCGCTCTTCAAGCCGTCCCTTGAGCCGTGTTGGCGCCCTCGTGGGCCCCTCTGTGTTGGGGTCTCTTTGGGCATCTTGGGGTAATCGTGGGTGCCTCATGGGCCATCTCGGACGCTCTGAAGACACAGAACACGAGCACACTATTGGGCCGTCTAAGGCATGTAATGGACATATTGGTGGTCTCCCAACGCCGTTCGGATGTCGAAATATTTCGACTACCCCTGAAACCGATATCACCTCCCAGAGCTCCAGAAAAGAGCCCACACCCCTTCAGAATCCCCATCGTTCGGTTACCGAGGACTCTCGACCAGAGGGCATACGTCCTCGTCGGCCCGAAGAGATTCAGCAAGCAGGACGTTTCAGCGCCTGTCTGGAACACTGGCCTGGACTCACGCTTGCCTCGACGACTTCAGGGATGTTTTTTTTGCACATGCTCGAACTGTCTGGGCTCTCAACAGAGCGCCGGCAGGGTCGCGCGCCATCTCCGCGCGAGGCCATGCCTCTCTGCAGCTCGAAAACAAAGGTGGCCATGTTCAGACAGCCTTTTAAAACTGATCCCGCGCTGCAGCGGCAATGGTCAGCATCGCCGCCGCAGCGCGGGATCCCGCGCGAGACTCTCTAAAGAGAGATCGATGGCCAGGCGCAAGCCTGAAGGCGAACAGAACGGCTCTAAGCGGCATGCGTACGAGTCGATGCCCCAATCCCCGATCTTTCCTCCTCCTCCCCTCCTCCTCCTCACGCTCCTACTTCGGCTTCATCAAACGAGCGTCTCGTGAGTTGGCGCCAGCCCGAGCCTAATTCAGGCAATCCTCCACCTTCACCTGGGTCTCGCAGCCTGCCGCCACGACGTCGTCCGCCGACGGGCACGGAAACGTGCGGTGGCCAGAGGACTCGGTCCGTCCGCAGCACTGGTTGCCCGCACACATGTTGCCCGCCCCTGGACACCTGACCCCCTGGCCAGCGAAGCACGACGCCGCTGGCGCTGGCGCCGGGGTTGGCGCCGGCGCGGGCTTGCTCGTCTTCTTCTTGGCGATTGCCAGCTGCTCCTTGTTAGGCGTGGCATCGAACGCCGTCACGTACTTCTGCAAGAAGGGCGTGCCTAAGATCGCCCCGTAGCCCGGGGGCACGAGATCGACAAGCACCAGCACGCAGGACCCAATCGGCAAGCTAGGCGGCGCGGAATTCATCGAAAACAAATTATCAATCAGCGCGGGATCGTCTATCGCCATGTCGCCCGCATCGATCGTCCAAGTCTGCCCCCCGGCTGTGAAGGAGAGCGACGGAACTTTATCCAAGTCGGAACAGGGAACGACGACAACCCTCACCGACGTGCCCTCGAGGGGTACTAGAAGAATATCTGACCCGACAGCACGGCTTGTGAGGGCTCGCCACTCATCATGAATATTCTTTTCTATGCCAATGACGCTGGCGCCGCTGTCCAAAATCGCTACCGCCGTCCGGTCGAGCCTGATGTCCCCAATGGCAAAAGAATTGACGGAGAACGACCAAAATCCAAACACGTTCTGGAAGGGGTAGTTTGGGTACCCAGCATCTGGCGAGATGGGCTTCACGACAGGCGTCCAGAAGAACTCCGCGTCGATCTGGCTAGAGTCAACTCTGCCGAGGATCAGCTCGCCATCGTCATCTCCTCCGTGCAAAGATAGCGTGAACACTGGGGAATCGATAACACCCTGTTTCCACATCATGATTATGGTTGACATCTCCCAGATATTCACAGACGGATCGGTACTCCCTTCGTTCAGGTACGCCAGCCCGAGGCCCATGAGTCCTTCCATTGGGCTTCCGAAGAAGCCAGTGAATAGGTACAGCAGATCGGCACCACCCATGATGATTTCGAAACCTGGAAGATCCCCGACCTGGACCTTTTCCACATACGCGGCCCCCGTGGCGTTCCCGACGCCATATGTCGAAGTGAAATTTGTCAACGGTTTGGCCGAGAACTCGTGGCCTGGCTTCCCTTTCGCCTGGCAAGTGGCACAAACGCCCTGCACCGGGCAACAGGTCGCAGATGTGGTAGGAACCCACAGGGGCCCCGAGCCCAGATCGATGTTGACGGGCACCTCTCTCGCGTCGCTGCCTAGCGAGATGTTCACGAGCAAGATACCGCCTCCAAAGAAGCCCGTCACCGCCACCCGCTCTGAGGATCTCGGAGATTGAGCGCCAGAGGCACGCACGCGGCTGATGCGCAAGCGCTGGAACTTCTTGGAAGAGGACTGCCTGTGCCCCAGCGAGCCGCGGCGCTGCTGGAGGAGCGCGCTGTCGTCCGCCTCGCCGGCCTCGCTGGCGCACCCGGGCGCCGCCAGGCAAGGGCCACGCGGGGCCTCCGGGCCGGCCGCCCGCGCCGACAGCGCGAAGCCGAGCGCGGCAAGCGCTCGCAGCATCGCCGCCGGGCCCGGGCGAGAAGCGAATGTCGGGGATGGACAAGCCCCCCTTTAGTAAAACGTGGTTTAGTGAAAACGACCTTGAGCCAAAATGGCTACGGACGACGACTTCAGGGATGGTGGGGGCACATCCCTCGGGAGCGGCCAAGAGGGGGGTGTCCAAGAGGGGGGGGTGCAAATCATGACCGGCGGCATGTGCGCGGCCCAGCGGGGGGGCCAGGGACGTAATGAAATAAGAAGAGGCGCCATAAAATCTGGGGAAATATCATGGCCCACGCCATGATATCCACCCCCCCCTAGTCATCACCCCCCTCTTTTCCGCCCCCGAATCCCACAGGCCCACCCTGAACAGATGCAGCAGGCTTGCCCTGAACAGATGCAGCAGGCTCGCGAGCTGAGGTGAAGCCGCAGCCCGAGGAAACCTCGCACGAAGCCGTCCGACCCACGTCCCCACCCGACCACGTAGACAGAGCGGGCACGAAAGGGCAGCCAGGGCTACTTGAAGCATGGCCATCTTCGCGCTCGCCCTCGTCGGAGCCAGATGCGGCAAGCTTCGGGCCAGTCCCGGGATGCAACCTACTCTCGGGGCGTCTTATCCCAACTCGCTGGTGGGCGAGTGTGGAGGCGAGACCTGAAAAGGGGCCGATGCGAGGAGCGAGCAACTTACGCATACCTCCCAAGGCACCGTGCACCCCGCAAGGCTGGCACGCGTGATTCTGGCCGTGGGAGACCGCATCGCGCAAGGGAGGGTGCGCAGGAGGAGGTGAGGCCGCAGTCGGGGTCGGAAGCACTTGGGCACCAGCCCCCCGAACCTCGGCCTCCCGGGGCCTTGCCGGCCGCGCCCAGGGCAACCTCCACCGCCGGCGACCGAAGCGGCGAGAACGACGAGCCGTTCCGACGGAACCGCTGGGCGCACGCGTGTGGCAGGATCGGCGAGGGCGTGCCAAGCTTGGTCACGGCGTGCAGGACGAAGCAAGTTGTTCGGCTGGCGCGGAGCGGTCGTCTGCTATGATCGGGGAGTGCCCATCATGACAACAGAGTCGAGCAGGATGTCCAGATGGGGCCTTTTTATCCCCTAGCGTTCCCAGTATTCCTTATGAAGGTATTGGAAAGCAGCCGCAAGCTTGTGCCGTGTGAAGTATCTGCTTCTGGCGTGCTGGGACCGCATGCCGCAGAAGCAACGGCTCCCAACGCGCCCGTTGGCGTCGACCAGGATCACCCACGGCATTGACGCCAATCGGGGTAAGACACACGCGTATCAGATCTAGATATATATATACACATACATACATACATACATACATACATACATACATACATACATACATACATACATACATACATACATACATACATACATACATACATACATACATACATACATACATACATACATACATACATACATACATACATACATACATACATACATACATACATACATACATACATACATACATACATACATACATACATACATACATACATACATACATACATACATACATACATACATACATACATACATACATACGTGTGTATATATATATATATTACACAACACGACGTGTGTATATACTTTCGTTCCTTCAATCATGAGTCTCTGGGGTCGTGTACGGTCGTCTTGGAGACGCCTTGGGGCGTCTTCGCCTCGTCTTGGGGGGTCGCCTGAGTCCATCTTGGGCCCGCTTGAGCTGGAGGCGCGCGGTTGCGCCGCGCGGCCCACTGGCGCGAGCGCGCTCCGGTCGACGACAACGCGCTCGGACGCGAGTGGGCCCCAGCCAGAGCGCCGCGCGCGCACACGACGACGACGACGACGACGACGACGACGACGACGACGACGACGGCGACGACGTATGGCGGCGGCAACGACGACCTCTCGCTCCGCGTGCGGATCCTCGTCCTCGCTCGGGCCCTCCACGGGAGGGGCCTCCTCGGGTTCGGCCTTGTCTGGAATCTTCGACGGCGCCCCGGGCGCCGGCCTCGCTCTGGCGGGGAGGGGGCTGTATGCCGTTTCGCTCCTCCTTCCCATCGGCCGCCCTGCCCGACTGCCCATTCCTCAACCTCCCCCACCCCTCCCGCACCTTCTTCCTTTCCCCCGACCGCTCAACCCCCCCACCACCCCCCCTCGCGTCCAAACCCATTCAGCTCGGATCCCCCCCTCCTAATATCCTCCCCTCGCCCCCACTCTCCGATCTCAAACCCTCCTTTCCTCTCTCCAACCTCACACCGCATTTCCTCGCGTACTCCAAAAATCCCTCACCCCTCTCATTTCCTCCCTGCCACAACCCCTGTTGCCCTCCCCTCTGTCACCCGTCCCCCCATTCCCCATCACTCACCTCTTCCCTCTCTTCCCGCCCCTCTCCGCCGCCTTTAACCCCATTCCATCTAACTCGCGAGAGGAAAGGAACTAACGCCGGCACGGGCCTCCCCATTCAGGTTCACCACGAAAAATGGGTGGGAACCCATGCGCGCGAAACCCTACACGGGTGAAACCCATACGTTTCGAGCCTAATGGATACTGCACCCCACTCATATGGAGTCGCGCGCGAGTGGAATATTGTGTGCGCGCGTGGAAACCCACTTATACGGTGGAAACCCTTGTGTGTGGATTTGTGTTGCGCGCGCGTGTGGGATCCATACGTGAGAAACTCCATATGCGTAAAACCGTCGTGTGCGCAAGCAGATCATGAGCGTTGTGAACACCATGTGCGCAAACACCCAGTGCGTGGGAACCCCCAGCCAATTGCGCTTGAACCCCACTCGCGCGGAAACCCGTGAATTTAGCAATTCATGCGGGTCGGGGACCCCGGGATCCCAATGTGTACAGCACCACCTGTGTGAACCCCATTCGCGAGAAACCCCGGCACGCATGAAACCCCATGCGCATGGAAACCTCGCGCGGGTGGGGTCACGCGTTTGCGGCGTTGTTGGTGCAAGTCCGATCGCGACCCCATTGGCAGCACACGCCGCTAGGCCTAAAAGGATCCCTTCCTAAACAGCCCCAGCGAAAAATGAGTGGCCCACAAACGAGGGCCCAAATACCTGCACGGCTAACAAGCGGCAGCCTGGTAGAAAGGGGCTAGTGGGCCCCATGTCCTCTTGTTCTTCCTCCCTCCCCCCCAATCGCACACACACACACACACACACACACACACACGCACGCGTTCCTCTGGCAATGGGCAACCCCGATGGCGACGCACGCTAGCCAGCCAGAGACGCTGACACAAGATTCACGAGGACACAAGCAAACACCTGTCATAATTACACACGCGGGCACTGTTTCTCCAGCGGCGTGGTGGCGGCACCGCCACGAAGCGCTGAGTCGAGACACGCCCAGGTGGATTCAAGTCCTGTGTAGGAGGTGGGTGGACGCACACACACACACACACACACACAGACACACAGACGCACGCACGCACACATGCACACACTTTTTTTGTCGCGGGCGGACGCGGATTCGCTGTCGCAGAACTAAGGGCCACGGGCCTGTCAAATTAGCAACGCGCAAGCCTAAGAGCACAGCGGCCGAGCCGGAATCAGAACCTACCGCCGGTGGGGCCGCAGGCTGAAGGGGAGTCACGTGCACACACACACACACACACACACACAAGCACTTTTGCGTCGGCGGTTAGGCAGACTGACTGTGCTGGCGGAGACAGCATGTGTAGGACGTTCGGATGCGAATTCGACCGCAGCGCAAGAGAAGGGGGAGGAGGAAGCCCGGCGCGGGCGGGAGGGAGGAGAGACCGGGCCCGCTCAGAGCGGGGCCGGGCCGCGGCAGGGGCAGCGCTGGGGCGGCGGCCGCAGGGGCAGCCGGGGCAGCGCAGCACCCAGGAAGCGGCAGAGCCAGGCGGGGGGGGAACAGGCCCAGCGCGTGCCGGGGGAGCGCAGCGCAGCGACGCGGCCGTGCGCCGAGGTCGGACCGACCTCCAGGCGACCGGGCAGCCGGAGAAGACCACCTCAGGGGAGGAGCCGGGGGGTCGCTGGGGAAGGGGCCCAGCAAGGAGAAGCGGCGCGGGCGAGCGGAGGCGCCGAGATCCACGGGACCTGCGAGGCGCAAGTGAGCGGCCGGCCCGGACGCCCCGAGGGCGGGGAGGGCTGGGGAGGGGCGGAGCAAGAGGGCGGAGCAGGCCCGCCGACGAAGCCGGCGTGCAGCACGCTGGCCTGGCCTGAAAACCAGGCAAGGAGGGCGGCTGGCGGGGTGGCTGCGGCAAGCCAACACCCAGAGCCAGGGTGCGGGACAGTGAGGAGCAAGTCCCCAGGAGCGACAGGGAGTCGGCCACAGGCGACGGCCCGTCCAAAACCTTGCGGAAGGGCGGCGATCCGCCCTGCCAGGGCAGGGGATGCAGCGGCGGGACAGGGGCCTCCACCCGGGCGGGGGGGGCACAGACACACACACACACACACACACACACACACACACACACACGCGCGCACACGCGCACACGCGCACGCGCACGCGCACCCGCACGCGCACGCACACGACACACACCACACACACACACGCACACACACACACACACACACACACACACACACACACACACACACACACACAACACACACACACACACACACACACACACACACACACAACACACACACACACACACACACACACACACAACACACACACACACACACACACACACACACACACACACACACACACACACACACACACACACACACAGACACACACACACACACACACACACACACGCGCACAGACACACACACACACACACACACACACACACACACACACACACACACACACACACACACACGCACACACACACACACGCAGACACAAACACACACACACACACACAGGCACACACAGACACACAGACACACACACACACACACACACACACACACACACACACACACACGCACAAGCACACACAGGCACACACACACACACAGACACACAGACACACACACAGACACACAGACACACACACACACACACACACACACACACACACACACACACGCACGCACGCACAGAGACACACACACACACACACGCACGCACACACACACACACACACACACACACACACACACGCAGACACAAACACACACACACAGACCCGCATTTTTCCACCGGGAGAGTCCTCCCGCGCGACGAAGCGAGGCCTGTGGCAGCTCAAAGCGCGGAGAAGCGGCCAGGCCCTAACGGATCGGCTTGGGTCCTGCAGTTCTTGTCGCCCTACAGCACATCCAGGCATGGATGACAGCGAAGTGACACGCCAGCCGCGGGCACACAACCCGATGCGGCGGCATAAGTTGCGGAGGTGCGGTACGAAGCAAATCTGGGCGCGGATAGTAGCGAGGTGACACGCACACCGAAGGACCCGTCTGGCACGGCAACGCGACATCAGAAAGGAACACACACACACGCACACGCACAGCGAACGCATTCCCAATACAACGCTCAAACATCAAGCTCACACGCTCCGATCAAATGCTGGAACATTCCATAACAGGCTGCGACGCTGAGGTGCAAGGGGCCCCGCAACCAGCAGCCAACAAGAGGTGCGCAGTGGCACCAGACAAAAATGACACGGACCGAGAAGCGCGTGCCGCCGTGTGAGTAAACAACAACGATGAAGTGCAATGGTGGCGTCAGGCAACCGAAACCAATTGGGAATGTCAGACTGCTGCTGGCATGCAAACAGTGGCGCACGAAATGAAAAAAAAAATATACACAAACCACGCCAGCTCCAACGCGGGAGCAAAAAACGGTGCGAGGCACGCGGCGGCACAGAAGCAGGAACGAAATCCGCGGCTGGCATTTTTCCACGCACACGCTCACGCCACCATACCCACACACAAACTTTTTTGGTCGCGGCCGCAGGCGAGAGCGCAAGCGGCGAGTCGTAAGTCTGGGGCGCGGGCCTACTAATTGACAACAGGAGCAAACTAGAGCCGCGCACCTACACACGCACACGCACTTTTGGTCGTTGCGGGCGGGAACACCTCCTCACCGCCCACCCCGCGGGTGGAGGTCCGCGCGAGAGCCCAATCACCGAAGATCGGCGGGAGAATGCCAAGACGGCCGGCCCCTCACGGAGCAGTGGCCGGAAGCGGCGCCGGGGCGCAGAGGCAATGGGCAGCGGGCAGGCACAAGGGCGCACACACACACACACACACACACACAGAAACGCACACACGCGCACACACACACGCAGGCATATGCACACACACACGCACACACACACACACACACACGCATACACATACACACACACGCACAGATCACACACAAAACAACACACACACACACAAACATAGACACAACAAACACACATATACTTACACACAACACACAACACACAACACAAACACACACACACAACACATCCACACATACACACGTACACACATACACACAACACACACAACACACACACACACACACATACAACACACACACACAAACACACAACACACACAACACACACACACACAACACACAACAGACACAACACACAACGGGCACACTTTTTACGGGCGTCGCGGCCACTCGCACAGCAGCGCAGCGGAGTCTGGCTAGCGGCCGAAAGCGGAAATGGGCGCGCGGAGGGGCCCAGCTCATGATCTCACAGCAGCAGGGACGTGCTGGGCTCACCAATAAGGAGCCGGGCAACACGACTCGCGGGGGAGCAGCAACGACAGGGGGGACGAGGGGGGGCGACAGGAGGGGAAACGACAGGCGGAAGGGACAAAGATAACTGACGGAAGCAGTCCGGTGGTGCAATTCGATGGGTGGCAGTGGCTGACCCGCAGGGAGTGGGCAACTGCGGCGCAATGGTAGACACGTGGATGCGACCAGGCAGCCGCGCCAGGCGACGGCGTTATAATAAGAGAACACGAAAGAGGGCACTGCCAATGCCGTGTTGCCCCTCGGCAGCGGGGATGAGGCAGGAACAAGGTGCAGTTTGAAGGAGATGCGGAGTAGTGGAAT